GTGTCCTACCCGAGCATCGAACTCACGAAATTCCTTGATCAGAGTCTAAGGCTCTAACCATGGAGCCACGAGTTCGTTGTCTTGCCAGTTTAGGTCTGCCTATACTATCAACTGTTATGGCTGTCAGGGTCCCTAGCGGGCACAAGGCAAAGCGGGACAGATGAGTCCCGTTAGCGGTCAGGTTAATTTTCGTGAACGAGTGTCATTTTGATAGCTTTCTGGCACGTGTGCCTGACTTTTAAATAACTGCACACTTGACAAAAGATCTGTTTTTTGCTTAAGGTATAACTCTATTTTTGGAACATTTATCGACCAACATTTTCTATGGCATTGCATGTGACTTATCCGCGGAGAAAGTTCCATGCCCCTCCCCACCCTAGCCTAATAGTCTCACTCAGATAATCTTTCCTATGTTAAGGGATAGTTGAATTAGAGTATTGTTTTTTAAACAGTTTAAAAGGAAACTCTTGCAAAGAGGCCAAATTTTTAAAACGCGGATGAGAGTACATGTATCTGGTTTTCCGAATATGTTCCCACGGGTTGTAGCCCAGCAAATGGATAACTGAATAACATTTTCTCCCACATTTCCTCCACATTCGTTCTCTGTGAAACTCTCGAGAACGTGGTATTTCAAAAAACTGCGGTTAGAAATCTGTCATGGTTTAAGTTAGAATTCATCAGCATAGTTTGTGGGGGTACACCATGCAGGTAAATGGTCACAAAAAGTAGTTCTGACATGATTTACGACGGTTGGTTTAAGAAGTTCACCACTCCCACACTGTGCGCCCCTAGTCTACAGTGCCGCGCACATTTTTCTGACAGTGGCCTAATAGGATATTATAAAGTGTATAGGCATAGGGACACCGAAACCGCCCAGTCTAGCACTGATGCATGTGCCGAGACTGACTGGGACTCTGAAACAGAAATATGAACCCCCCCCCTGCCCTACTGCAGCTGGCTCTGTCTTGCCGGTTTTGATCGGGTATATTAACAGTCGTAGGGAGGCGCATACAGATCACGTAACAAGACATACTCGCCCCGTTGTACCCCGATGATTGCTTGCTCGCCTGCATTCCATTTGCTGACTGCCACAACTAGTGTGTGCGTAGGATATTGGGGGGATAATGACTCGGTAACTTGTCCCCCTTCCCCTTCCCCATTACTGCCGATGTGTTCGCCCCCGCGCTCCTCGCGTGACTAATTACCATGCCCAGACATAGTCTTGCTGCTGCATATGCAGGAAGGGTCACGGGGCTTGTCAATTGACTGCCGCGGGCAAGCCACAAACGCGCAAAC